AGCAGCCTCTGCATGTTTCGCCACCCGGGGTCTTCAAAAAAAGCTCTGTGCGCTTTTTCATACAAGTACATGGCACAGCAGGCACATTTTAAGAATATGAAATGTTGGATTTCCATATTCTTTCATGCACAAATGTACAATATACAGTATATAATTTACACATAACCTCATTGTAGAGACTCTACTTATTGGTTTAAATCTATAGCTTACCAGATTGTACACAACACTGTACAAGTACTATATAGAATCACTGTGCATACTAATTGTACACCATATACAGTCTGTATTCAACCACATTGTAGAAAACAAACAGTATGTCACCTGCTCTCTTCCTGTAGGCAACACACAAGAGAGATGTATGTAAACTCTATGGATACAGCACACTACAACAGAAATACATGTAACATGCCATGTTCCAGTACTTAGCAGCAGACATGTAACATCCAATACACTTCAGAGGCATGTATGTGACATGTAGAAAAACACTAACAAAAATGTACATTTTCAACTGCTTTGCCACATTTTTTGAGACATAAGGCCTTGTTAAAATCATTTCTGATAAAAGATATTGTAATTCCTGTGTTCATTCACATACACTATATTGCCAAAAGTATTGGGATGCCTGCCTTTACACACATTTGAACTTTAATTGCATCCCAGTCTTAGTCTGTAGGGTTCAATATTGAGTTGCCCCACCCTTTGTAGCTATAACAGCTTCAACTCTTCTGGGAAGGCTGTCCACAAGGTTTAGGAGTATGTCTGTGGGAATGTTTGACCATTCTTCCAGAAATGCATTTGTGAGGTCAGGTACTGATGTCAGATGAGGAAGGCCTGGTTCGCAGTCTCCGCTTTAATTTATCCCAAAGGTGTTCTAACAGGTTGAGGTCAGGACTCTGTGCAGGCCAATAAAGTTCCTCCACCCCAAACTTACTCCATTTCTTTATGGACTTTGTTTTGTGCAATAGTGCACAGTCATATTGGAACAGGAAAGGGCCATCCCCAAACTGTTCCCACAAAGGTGGGAGCATGAAATTGTCCAAAATGTCTTGGTATGCTGATGCCTTAAGAGTTCCCTTAACTGGAACTAAGGGGCCAAGCCCAACCCCTGAAAAACAACCCCACACCGTAATCCCCTCCACCAAACTTTACACTTGGCACAATGCAGTCAGGCAAGTTCCGTTCTCCTGGCAACCGCCAAACCCAGACATGTCCATCGGATTGCCAGACAGAGACGCATGATCCATCACTCCAGAGAATACGTCTCCACTGATCTAGAGTCCAGTGGTGGCATGCTGTCCACCACTGCATCCAATGCTTTGCTTTGCCCTTGGTGATATAAGGCTTGGATGCAGCTGTTCAATCATGGAAACCCATTCCATGACACTCTCTACACACTGTTTTTGTGCTAATCTGAAGGCCACGTGAAGTTTGGAGGTCTTTAGCTATTGACTCTGCAGTTTGTAGAAGCAGTCTGCATATCTAGGTGCATTATTTTATACACCTGAGGCCATGGAGGTGATTGGAACACCTGAATCCAATAATTTGGAGGGATGTCCCAATACTTTTAACAATATAGTGTAGCTTACATTTTTTTACATAATATAAATAAATATGAATCCATTGTACATTAACTGGTAATTTAAAAATAAAATCTATCTTTTGAAACACATTAAGACCAGAGATTGATTTAGTTTGCTGGCACCTCAGTCATGCGATCTTCTAAGAGACTTAGTGCCAGCATAGGTAGGAAACAGGACAAAATCAAGGCACCGTACACCCTCCTCACCCCACCTCAAGACCCACTGCACTTACCTCTGTGGATGATTTAGTTTCACCTTTCATGCAGCCCCGTGCATCGGTCCTGGGGTTTGAGAACGGTGCAGTCATGTTGGCATATGGCTGCACTGACCAATAAGAACCACTCTGATCCTTCCCAGTGTTCCTAGGAGAAGAAGGGAAAGAACAGAATAGTTTTCAAACCCCAGAACCGCCATACTGGGCTGTGTGAATGGTGAAACTGAATTCCCCATGGAGACAAGTGCAGCAGGGACTGGGGAGGGTGTTATTTCACTTTTTCAGTTTTTTGTGAAAAAGTGAACCAGTGCTTTAAGCTAAAAACACCAGAAAGCCAAAATGCAGGAGCGGGCCATATTTTTTGTACAATCCCCTTTAGATCTACCAGCAAGTATGTAGTGCTAGAACTTGAATCCCAATATTATCATCTCCATCCTATAGCATTATCTCACCCCACATTTGATAAATGTTACACTCCCTTAAACCTCTTTGAACACCCCAAAACCACAAAATTGTGTACATTTACCTGAGCTTGTGGTGTTTTCCAGTTAGTGGAGCATTCCTGATTCAAAAAGCTAAATCTCACTGGATAAAAGGGAGAACCAGAAACCAGAACCAGAAACCTGAGTGCAAACAGGAATCCTCTGAGTTAATTTAGTCAAAGCCTATGGGGCAGGCCACTGCCCTCTTATTTAGCAATATGGCTTGTGCTGTTCACAGGCTGAGCTAAAGGTATTGCATATTCTGGATGTCAGTATTATTGCTATTTCTCATTTTTGTAACCTCTTCAGTGGGCACTAGGTGACTGCTTATTCCAAACAAGTATAATATGGATTCGATTCAGCACCTAGTTGTTTTAAAGGAGTGATGTTTTCAATACTCATTAATGTACCTGGTGTGCAGTGCTATCTGGGTAATGTAGTTGTACTGCCCAGCTCTGGAGTGTCATGACAAGTTCAAATAGCATTGAAATAGCGCTGCTTTTTTAGACAAACTGGGTCATAAAAAATCACAAGAGGAACTACTGCCTTATCCTATGTTTCTGAAAGCTGTCACAAAAGCTTCTTATTGATGGCTCCCACTAATGTCAATCACAGCCAGTGAGCTAATGAAAAGAGAGGGGCGGGGCCGAGCCACAGCTCCATGTATGAATGGACACACGGAGCAGCAGCTGGGGAGTGTGCATGCTCAGGTGCCCTCATAGCAAGCTGCTTGCTGTGGGGGCACCTGACAGAAGGGAGGGGCCAGAAGCACCTGCAGGGGACCCAAGAAGAGAAGTATCCAGGCTGCTTGTGCAAAACCACTACACAGAGAAGGTAAGTATAGAAATGTTTGTTATTTATTTATTTAAATTATTATTATTTAAGTCTTTAGAATCAATTTAAACAGTTCATCATCAAGCAACCCAGCACCAGCATTATTTGATCATTTTCTACCTAATATTGTTACTACAGATGCTTCAGACTATGGCCTTTGTGCAGTCAATACCAGGGGCGGACTGAGAACTCATGGAGCCCCCGAGGCAATAGGAGATCATGGGGCCCCCTGTGTCCCTGCCCACTCAAGCCGCACCCACACAAAGCCTCACCTACATATTACACTGCCCGCAATACATGCATTTGTCACAGAATTTCTCTACAGTATATTCGAAATAAATGTTTATTGCACAAAATAAAATAAAAAAAACGTACATTAAAGAGACCGCAAGAATGGTACATTTCAAAATGAAGGTTTTAATGAATGTTTCCTATTCCTTCCACTGACACCAATGCTAGGGCACTATTCCTCCCACTGACACCAATGATAGGGCACTATTCCTCCCACTGACACCAATGATGTGGCACTATTCTTGCCACTGACACCAATGATAGGACATTATTCCTTTAACTGACATGAATGATAAGGCACTATCCATCCCACTGATACCAATGATGGGGCATTATTCCTCCCACTGATACCAACGATGGGGCACTATTCCTCCCATTGACCCAAAAGGTGGGATGCTATTCCTCCCCCTAATACTAAACATGCATGGTTTACTCCCTCTGATGCCAGGACAATTTCTGATCCCAAAAACCTGAAGGACAGTAAACTGGCCCTTTGATCTAAATTTGGGGTCTCCAAACTTTCTAAACAAAGCATATTCATGTGTTAGAATGGCCCAGTCACAGTCCAGACTGAAATCCAATGGAGAATCTGTGGCCAGACCTGAAAATTGCTGTTCACAGACGCTCTCCATCCAATAACAGAGCTTGAGTGATTCTACAAAGAAGAATAGGCAAAAATGTTCTTCTGTAGATGTGCAAAGCTGGGAGAGACATCCCCAAAAAGACTTGCAGATGGAATTGCAGCCAAAGGGGGTCCTACAAAATACTGACTCCAGGGGGCCGAATACAAATGCTGCCACACTTTTCACAGATTTATTGGTCACAAATTTTGGAACAATTTCTCATTTTCCTTCCACTTCACAATTATATGCCACTTTGTGCTGGTCTGTCAGATCCAATCCCAAATAAATACATTGTAACATGACAACATGGGGGACATTTCAGTCATGAGGAAGACTTTTTCAAGCCACTGTATATATCACTGATATCTGTACACTGAGTGCTATTCCTTATATATAACACTGATATCTGTACATTGCGTGCTATTCCCTATATATAACACTGATATCTGTACACTGGGTGCCACTCAGTGTACAGATATCACTGTTTTATATAGGGAATATAGAATAGAAGACTACTATTAACCCCTTGCCTACCGGGCACTTATACCCCCTGATTGCCCGGGTCAATTTTCAGCTTTCAGCGCTGTCACACTTTGAATGACAATTGCTCGGTCATGCAACACTGTCATCATTTTTTTGAGACAGATAGAGCTTTTTTTGGTGGTATTTAATCCCCTCTGGGTTTTTATTTTTTGCTAAACTAACCAAAAAACAACAGAAAATTTTGACAAAAAAAGTTTTTTTTTTTCTTAGTTTCTGTTATAAAATGTTGTAAATGAGTAATTTTTCTCTCCTTCACTGATGTGTGCTAATGAGGCTGCAGTGATGGGCACTGATAAGGCAGCACTGATGGGCATTGGTAGGCGGCACTGATGGGCACTGATGAAGATGCACTGGTAGACATAACTGATGGGCACTGAAAGGCAGCACTCATATATGGCACTGATAGGCAGCACTGACTGGCACTGTTAGGTGGCACTGACAGGCACTGATAGCCGGCACTGATTGGTAGCACTCATAGGCAGCACTGACTAGCACTGATAGGCAACTCAGATGGGCACTGCTATGTGGCATTTATGTGCACTGGTAGGCACTGATATGTGGCATTGATTGGCACTGATATGTGGCATTGATTAGCAATGATATGTGGCATTGATGTGCATTGATTGGCACTGACAGGTGGCATTGACGACACTGACAGGTGACATTAATGGGCACTGATGGGGCTACACTGATCATCAGGGCACTGATCAGTGCCCTGATGATCAATATAGATGTCCCCTCTGAGGAATGCCGATTACCGGCTCTCCTCTCCTCATGAGCTGTCAATGTGACAGCTGGTGAGGAGAGGAATGCCGATAACCGGCATTTCCTTATTTACATGCGATCAGCTGTGATTGGACACAGCTGATCACATGACCGTCCGATGATCACATCACATGTCTTCGGCTCTTTCCGCTGATCAGTGATCCGCTGTGTCCCAGGGACACAGTGCACCACCGATCGTTGGAGTGGGAGGACGTCATATGATGTCCTCCCAGAACAAGAGAACCGCCGGCCGCCTGTCATTTCCTTATATGGCGGGAGGGAGGTGGGAGGCAGTTAAGCTGCAGTGCTGTCAGTGTCACCGGGGGTCGGGGGATTACACACTGACCTACTGCATGTTACAGGGCAGGTCAGCACAGCGATGACTCCGCTCTCTTCTCTGGCCGCCCGTCCTGTGGCAGGGATGTGGGACATCATTGTAGGTCTTTTCACAGAGGCACCTGTGGACTGCCTATTTGCTATAACATTGATGGATTATTCCAGTAAATTACATTTGTCTCTAAGGAAAATCTGCTACTGTAGTTACATTTGTTTACATAGTCTTCAGCAAGGAAGGTAACTAAAAGGAACTAGTGTCTGACAGTGGACATAGTTAGTCTGGCTGAAAAAAGACAAACGTCCATCCAGTTCAACCATTAAAGAAAAAAAAAAGTTATACTCCTATACCCACAGTTGATCCAGAGGAAGGCAAAACACCCAACAAAGTATGATCCAATTTGCTCCTGCAGGGAAAAAAAAATCCTTCCTGATCCACTGAGAGGCAGTTGGATATTCCCTGGATCAACTTTACCTATACATTTTAGTATCTAGTTATATTCTGTGTATCTAGGAAAGAATCCAGGCTTTTTGTAAAGCAATCCACGGATCTGGCCAGAACCAACTCTTGAGGGAGTCTATTCCACATTTTCATAGCTCTTACTGTGAAGAAACCGTTTCCGTGTTTGGAGGTTAAATTTCTTTTCCTCCAGACTTAAAGAGTGCCCCCTTGTCCTCTGTGATGACCTCAGGGTGAATAGCTCTACACCAAGTTCACTATATGAACCACTGATGTATTTATACATGTTGCTCATATCCCTCCTTAATCTCCTCTTCTCAAGAGAGAATAAATTCAGTTTCTCTAATCTTTCCTCTTAGCTGAGCTCCTCCATGCCTCTTATTAGTTTAGTTGCCCTTCTCTGTACTTTTTCCAGTTCCCCAATGTTCTTTATGTGAATTGGTGCCCAAAACTGAACTGCATATTCCAGATGAGGTCTTATTAATGATTTGTACAGGGGTAGAATGATATCTCTCCCTCTGGAGTCTATACCTCTTTTAATACAAGAGAGGATTTTGCTCACTTTGGAAACCGCAGCTTGGCATTGCATGCCATTATTAAGCTTGTGATGTACCAGAACTCCCAGATCCTTCTCCACCATTGATTCCCCCAATTGTACCCCCTAGCATATATGATTCATGCATATTCTTAGCCCCTAAGTGTATCACCTTACATCTATCAACATTAAACCTCATTTGCCACATAGTTGCCCAATTAAACAGTGCATTGAGGTCAGCTTGTAAGTTGAAGACATCCTGTAAAGACGTCATTCCACTGCACAGCTTGGTGTCATCTGCAAAGACTGAAATGGTATTTTTAATCCCAGACCATATATCATTTATAAATATATTAAAAAGTAAGGGTCCCAACACTGAACCCTGGGGTACACCACTGACAACCCCAGACCATTCAGAGTATGAATCATTAACCACTACTCTTTGAATACGATCTTTTAGTCAGTTTACTTAACATTTACATACAGATTTTTCCAAGCCCATAGACTTTACCTTACATATTAGCCATGTGTGGGGAACTGTGTCAAACACTTTTTCAAAATCCAAGTATACCACATCCACTGCCACCCCTCTGTCCAAGGTTTTGCTCACCTCCTCATAAAAAGAAATGAGATTTGTTTGACAACTTCTGTCTTTCATGAATTCGTGCTATCTGTTGCTTAAAATATTTTTTTACAGCATGGACTCATCTATGTGGTCTTTTATTAAACTCTTCAGTATCTTCCCAACTATAGAAGTTAAACTAACAGTTCTATAATTACTTGGTAAAGATTTTGACCCCTTTTTAAATATTGGCACCACATTGGCCTTACGCCAATCCAGTGGTACTATGCAAGTCATTAAAGAGTCCCTAAAAATTAGAAACAATGGTTTTGAAATGACAGAGCTCAATTCTTTAAGAACCCGTGGGTGTATGTCATCCGGTCCAGGTGCTTTATTCACCTTTATTCTGTCTAAATGTTTTTGGATCATATCAATTGTGAGTCAATGTGGAGCATCTGGGGCTGTGTCAATATCATTCCCATTATGGACAAGACCTCCCCCATGCTCCTTTGTGTACACAGAACTAAATAAAAATAGGGTACATACTGATTGGAAATATGGTGTGAAAGACATGCATTTTCACCCTGAATCCCTTATTAGAGTTAAGACACGTGGCTTATTGAAACAGGTCCAATGCAAAGTCAAAGGGACCTTACACTTATGGACACATATAAAATACCAGTCACCTTGCACCTGTTAGGCAGGACTTTTCCGAAGGTTCATTGACAAAGTCCATTTTTCCATTTAGAAAGATGACAACCAACCCAGAGACCTGGAACCAAACCACCTAGACATACAGTATTAAAAGAATATGTAGGACTATCATTATTTAAATTGTTGTGGTATGTATTGTTCAATATTGAGGCAGAATATTTGTTGTACTATGAATGAAATATGTGGTGTTCATACCTTAAGCCTGTAGATTCCACTATTTACAGTTGTTACATGTATAATACTTTCTATATTTAATACAAGTGAATTTCAGTTCCTGTTTCTGTTATAATATACTCTGAAGGCTGCGTATTTTGTATGGATGCCTGAATTTGTAATGAAGCACTCTATAACTACTGTGTCGCCCAGACCACAGGACAAAAAACAATTTATCTTCAAGATTGTACACCACTGCATATACAGATGAAATATTTTCCTATATAAGACTTTTCTTTTTTCTGATAAACAATACAAATTAGCGATGCAGCTAATTCAGAGTTTTTGCTTTTGGCAAAGTTTGCTTTTTTGAGTAATAGTGAAGGCAAATGTAAGATCATTTTTGTTGTTGTTTATGGGTCCAGTTGCCTTTAAATGGCTTCTAAGGATTGAACAAAAACCTTACATTTTGAACTTTTAGTTTAAAGGAGAAATGCAGTCAAAGCTCTTTTGGCTCTACTTCTCCTGTGGATCACAGGAGTGCAGTTCTTTCTGCAGCCAGTCCAGGCTGGGGAAAGATCCAGACTTCAAAGTCAGGATGTAGCCAAGAGTCTGGCGCATCACCTGGCTCAGCCTCTCAGCGATCCACTGAGAGCATGAGCCGGCTGCTCCCTCCCTCTTCACAGCCCAGCGCTCCAGTGAGCAGTGGAGGGACAGAGTAGACAGCTGTGACTGACAGTCCCACTCTCTGCTCAGAGCGGTCATGTGATCATTCTTGGAGTCAGCCCATCAGTCCACCTAGGTAAGTATTCATTTGGAAAAAAAATAAAAAGCCATACTTTTCTTTTAAGTCTGTCATTTTAAGTGCACATCAATATAGTGGTATCTGACACTGACATAGCGTTGTCAATATTTGGTTTATTATTAAAGCCATGAGATAATTAGCACTTTGTTAGGTTTGCTTTAGCATTAGGACTGGTCTGGAGTTTGGAGCTAATTTTATCTATTTTATTTGCCAACAGTACCATGAGATCAGCAAGCAGCACTGACATTGTGATCACATCAATTTGATATAAAACTGTTGTTGTTGTTATTATTATTATTATCAAATATAATAATTATTCCATTTTCGAAAACGTAAAGGGTCATCAATGCTGCAATGGATGTGATCACTGGAGATCACAAACTATTAGAAGCCTCCAACCTCCTTAAAAATGTTAGCTGAATCCTGCCCATCCCTCATGTAATTTCCAGACATGCAACTATGGTAAAAGTACATCTAAGGTTCCCTGATGCTTTTTTGTTTTAAGTCTGGTCTACATGCTTATATCAACTAATTTTCCTAAAGAAGTTAAAAAACGTCACACAATAGTGTGATTATTCACTGTAATTATCCAATGATGTGCTGTTGTAAACATCAATCCGTGACTGGATAATTTAAGTGAATATTCATTAACTTTTTTTGTATGAAGATTTTTAATTTCTTTAGTAAATCACTCTCATTCTCTCTTCATCATAGGTAAACTTATTCAGGGGCTGCCTGCTTGTATCAGTTTGTGATCTTCCATGATCTCATAGGTGCAGTGTAGATTAGAAATCATAATTTATTACTCCTGAACATTGAATCAAACAAGTGTACAGTGCCTCACCTGTTTATGCCCATGTCTGCAGTTACAATCCATATAAGATAAGTAGATAATCTGCATCCAGTTAGGTAGAATGTAAATATTTTTGTCATGCTTACTCCTATTACAGGGGTCAAATGAATTCAGAGAGTAGTTGATATCTGTTCTGAGGATGTCAACAAAGGAATCCAAACTAGCAGGCACAGGAGCAGGGCAAACAAACAGGGAGCTTTGAGCATGTGTTATAAATTCAATATCACAGGCATGAGACTGCAGGCTTGGCTGGCCTAAATCATGTTTGATGTCCACCCAGAGACTGGTCACATCAATCACTTTGCAGGTGGACAGACAGACAGGGAGAATGTATCACAACCAAAATCAGGATGCTGGAATACTACCAGCAACTGTGATGGAGCAGGAGCGCTACTTGCTCCTGACAATTTCATAGTTTATGTGAGCTTCAACTTGTAAAGGAAAATCATTAATCCTTTCCCGCCAAGCGTACACATGTATGTGGCCTCACAGAAGTGGGTCTTTATGTTTTTGGCTGAATATATGTGTATTTGTGTTTGTGCATGAGTGCCCTGCACAGTGCACTGCCAGCACAGAGACAGGGTTTGACATAGGTCAGGGTTAGGGTCAATTGCCATAGTCAGAGTCAAAGGTTGGATTCAAAAGGTCAGGGTCAGTGAATTTAAGGTAGTATAAAAAGCATTTTTAAATTTAGTATCAGTGTCAGTTAGTGTCAGTTTTTTAGGTAGGATAAAAAAAGCAAAATGTGTTTCTGAGCCCTACAATAGGTACAAACAACATATAATTTACACATATGTGTGCTATT